AGTTGTCCAGATAGTTTCTTTCTATTTTTAGTAGAGACGGGGTCTCGCTCTTGTTCAGGCTGGTCTCAAACTCCTGACCTTGAGCGATCCACCCGCCTTGGCCTCCCAGAGTGCTAGGATTACAGGCGTGAGCCACCGCGCCCAGCCTGGTTAGTGTTTTTATAAATTGATATTTCTAAAATAGCCAAATATCAAATATTCATAAATCAGAGAAGATATTCTTTAAATCTATAGTTTCCCATTTAAACATAAAATGTTAATCTTTGGATAGGGAAAACAACAAAGTAATTACTTTGAATTTGCCATCAATAAAACATTCTATTACGCTTAATTTGTTAAATATTATAATTACATGTGGCAGATTCTAGACTACAAAAATGTGTTGTTTTACAAAGAACTCTTTGTAGACCTATAGTTTTCTCCTTCATTTGCAATATTATTTCTCATACATTCTTTTAAATGCTCCTGGCTCTAGAGAGCATATTCATTTCCTAGCCAGAACTGTGTACACCCAGCACCTGACACAGAGAACCCATTTTGTTAGAGAAGGAGACTAGGAGACAGGGCTGAGACCAGATGCAGGGGCTTGAAGATTGGGTGCAGGTGTTAAAGTAAATAACCCTCAGGCAGGAGCTAACTAGCGGGGCTGATAACCAAAGGCAAGAACCAGCTTCAACTGGCTTGTCAGCTATCTCGGTCATCCTACGCAAACTTTGGCTAATTAAAATGTCATTTACACAGTAGTTTTAAAATTTCTCTGCCTTTGAAATCACCGTGACAGTTCCAAGAACGTAAAGTATAAAAATGGAAGGAATCCAATTCTAGGAATTAGTACCCAAATTCTATTAATAAGTAAAAGCCAACCCCTTACCCTTAAATATTCCTCCCCTCAATTAGTAAGACTTCGAAAGACCAAAAACCATTTCCTCCCAGTGCCGCTGCTCTTTTGAGCCTGCCTGTTCTCTCTCTCCTGAGAGTGTGCTTTTGCCTTCAATAAAAGCTGTCGCTTGCTTGGCTTACATGGTGCGTCCTAAAATTCTTTTCTCCCAGTGATCACCAAGAACCCGGAAAAACCTCCACTCGGAGGCTGGTAACAATTTTAGGAGCAAGAAGCAGACACAGAAGAATCACCCTGAGTGTGTCCCCCAGCTTAAGGCTTCACAGGGGATTTGTGGTGGAGGCGGCTGAGCCATGAGGATGCTCACACTACAGCGTCGAGTCCTGCCCTGACGTGAGACCAGAGCACTAGAACTCAGGGAGACAGATGCTCTGTCACTATGACTAAGTGCGTTCTCTACAAAGCAGATTCTGAAGGGAAGCAAACCTCTGTAAACAGAATGGTCTCTTCTTGGGCCACTAATATTTCCTAAAACATTAACTTATGTAATTTTAGAAAGTCCAATTTATTATATTTTTCTTTCTCATGTCCTTATCTACTAACAAAACACAGAGTGCTTACTTAGACAGTGAATTCAGCTGCTCCTGAAGGAGACTCTTTATTTCTTTGTTTTCTGGATAATCACTGCACAGAAAAGATTTTGAATGAGTTTATTATTTCTTCACTTAAAACCATTCATTTCTTCACCAGAAAAAAGTTGTATTAATACAGAAATAGCTTCATTTGTCTTGGTTAAAAACCTGGTTATAGACCAAAAGAGCAAAAATTTACCAAGGGCCCCTCCAATCATCTTTAATGTCTGCTTTCATCTTCTTGAGTCAACAACAAAGAAATCGGTAAAGAAAGCCTCTTTGGCTTTCAAGAAACCAGATGATTTATTAGCAGGCTCTGAAAATTATCAGGTTTAGATTCCTTTGAATAAAGAATCCAGCAATGACTAAGCAAACTTGCTCATTCTGCTCTGCAGAATGGACAGTTCTTGGAGAACAGACGCCTCATGGCACTGTTTTTAAATCCCCCACCCCATGCCCACCTGTGCATTCCACCTGGCAGAAGTTCAGTAATCTTTGTGGATTTAGTTAATAACCACTAATAATAGTTTCTGTGAATTTTTGTTGCAATGAGGCAAACACTGAGCTTTATAAAACATAATACACCCCTGAAGCAGGCCTCACTGATGCCACTTTTAAAAAGAATTAGCCGGCCTCAAATTCCCCTTGGTCTCCATTGACCCTCTTCACATACATCCTTTTCCCTACCATGGCAGGTCCATGCTCAGATCATAAGAAAACCGCCTGCGAGCAACACAGGCACTGCAGCTCCTCGCTGACCTCCACCTCCACCAAGGCCCAGAGGGCTGGAAGCGAGAGGCAGACTGGAGGTTCTTTCAGTGTCCCTGCTTTCTGTTGGCTTGGTTTTAAGGGTCCATTCCCTTTAACCCCTGGAGTATAGGCCATGGCTGACTCCATGGGTGTTCTTCAATTCCAAGTAAATTATGAAAGAAAAACAAAAATGGAAAAACTTACACACAAGAAATGTCCAAAGAATACTGTCCACTCCAAGGCTGGTGTAATAAGAAGGCTTTTAAGGCAAGGGCGGCCCTTGGAACAAGGAGATACGGGCACCACACAGGCTCTACACCAAAAAAAAAAGGGGGAGGGTTCTTTTTTAATAATATAAATTTTTATACTAACAGTGAAGCTTCAGCTATAAACCGTATATAGAGTAGTCAGCAGAGAACAATGTATAAATCTGGTGCAATTGATAAAGTATATTCAATGTAGTCATTACTTAGGCAACACAGGCTAAGAGTGGAGAGATTCTCTGCATTCACATCTGATTAATATATTCTTCTCCCTCCACCTTTTTGTTTTTAGAGACTGGGGTCTCACTATGTTGTCCAGGCTGGTCTTGAACTCCTGGCCTCAAGCCATCCTCCCACCTTGGCCTCCCAAAGTGCTGGGATTACAAGCATGAGCCACGGCACCCAGCCACATGACTACTTTTTCAATTGAAAATTTTCTAAAATAAACATAAAGCTCAAGTATTTCTGCTGAAAATCTATCCTCTAAATTGAGAGGACAATTCAATTTATTTTATAATAGATGTAAAACATCAACTGGATTTCAAAGACTGAGTACTAAAAAAATGTAAAATATCTCATTAGTGATTTTTAATATTATATGGTGAAAAGATAAAATTTTGGATATACTGGCTTAAGTAAAATTTTAATTAAAATCTTTTTCATTTGTTTCTTTTTACTCTTTAAAATGTAGACACTAGAAAATTTAAACTTATATATGTGGGTCACATTTCTATTGGATAGCTCTGCTTTAGAAAACTTCATTCTATGTAG